ACCTAGCCTGATACTAGCATGCTGTTCTAACATATCACAATATCAAATAATCGAATGGTATTGTGGGGTCTACTTACTGGCTCCGATTGATCGTACACCCTGCATCATCCTTTACTTATTTTGAAAACCATTTGAAAAAAAATCATTTTTAAAAATCTTTTCCTTGATTTGTGACAAGAGTCACACGAGTGTTCCTCCAATTCACTCAAACCAAGGTTTTGATACCAACTTGTAACACCAAAAAATTTCAAGCTAATTTAAAACTTTTCAAAACATTTAAAACCAACAGTTATTACAGATTTGTTTTCAAAATAGTCTATATAAGAGTCTTTCCCAAAAAACATAAACAAAACATGAGGAGATGTACGATCATGCCTTCGCCTTGCCACGATCCCCTGGTGTACCTAAAACATTAAACTAAAGTTGTAAGTCCGATAGCTTAGTGAGTTCCCCCAAAATACCGATACACTACACATAATACATATATAAATACCACCATATATTGGGTCCACAACTTTATAGACTGGTTTGCCCCCTAGGCCCATAGTGTGAGCTTGGATTGCCTTCCAGGCCTACATCTCACATCTGGATTGCCATCGAGTCCACACTACGAGTCTTCCTCATCTCGTATCTGGAATGCTCCTGAGTTTGTTGGTTACCGCATGGAGCAGTATCACCTCAACCCATCCCACATAATATGTCGACATATAATACAACTAATGCACATACAGATAATCACATGATACTACAGATAGACCTACAGATCTACCTAACTGGCATAGCAACTAACATGCAACACTAAATCATACTCAACATACTACCAACTGCTAGGAAATCATATCCAATGGGCCGACCTTGGTGCCTTAGACCCCTTAGCATAGTGATGATAACTCACCTCACACTGTCGACTCAAAGATTAACTCAAGCTCTCGGATTGCCGGCACAAACTCCACCACCTATATTCACTATAGAACCATACTTGTAAATTTCCAATTTCCCAACAATGTCCCCATAATTCCACTGGTCAACCGTTGGTCACAATCAAAGTCATCGGTCAAGGTTAATAGTCCATGTTGACCTCAACTCGTCAAGTACCCTCAGCTACTTGCCGAGTTCCTTGTATAACTCGCCAACTCGTCGAGTCACTAAAGTGACTCGTCGAGTTCCTAAGGTTTGCGGTCATAAACTTCTTGGCCGACTCATCGAGTTTCCCTTGCAACTTGCCAAGTTCATATGTGTCTAAAGGTTGGGAAAACCCTAGCCGGCTCGCCGAGTCACTCATCTGACTCGCCGAGCCCATGACAATCTCCATCGGATTCGCCGAGTCCTACAGTCCTTCATCCATACAGATGCTTTTTAAGCCATGCTAAGGCTCCAAATTGTAGATCCAGCTTCCCAAGGCATGTTTATCACGTAAAGTTGCAAACTTTACGTGCATGCAAAGCTCTAAAGTCTTAAAATGACAAAACTAAACTTGTAAAGAAGTCTTACACTTGAGGGAAGGTTCATGCTTGACAAAGATAACAACTTTATGGACCTAGAGACCAAGGAGAGATCAGATCTGAAGTTTCAACTTTAGATCTTAGCTCCAACACAAGAAAGGCTTCCAAAAATCCACCCAAATGAGATCTAAGATGAAATGAGGCCAATATAACAGCTTAATAGCTTCAAAAATGGGTGCCCACTGAAGTACATCGTTGATTCCCACGAGTTCCTTGCTTCAAATCACTTGTTCCCTAAGCTTTTCTCACCAAAATCCTTCTTTAAAGCTTAAACACGCCAATGTAGCATACACACACACGAATTAGGGTTTTGGAATGACAAGAGGCTGTAAAGGGGAGGCTGAAGAGGCCAATGATCCTTTAAATAGGGTGCAAAACCCCGGAAATTAGGGTTTCATCCACCAGCTCCTACTTGTTGAGTCCCATCTTGGACTCAGCGAGTAGGTCACTTAAACACGTGGACCAACCCGCTACTACTCGACGAGTAGGGCAACCAACTCGTCGAGTAGACCTTGAATTCAAAAAAAAAAAACTTATATCAAAATCAATACTTGAGAATCGGGGCGTTACACACAGCATGGTGAATAGGCACCACGTGGTGGTATTCTTATGAAATCTCGTATTCTCCAAGTCAACTCATTTATTGCGAATCTTCCAACCACCACGACGTGGTGTAGAGTAGCCACATCTTGGTCTTCAAATTCCAAGCCTTTTTTTGTCTTGGCTCACTCATTCCTGCTTCCAACTCTGCATTTGCATCCTTTTTATCTTGAGCAAGTATTTGCTGCTACAAAGCAGGTTTTAAAGCAATTAAGTGCCTTTTGTTCTATAATGAGCATAAATGTAGCAAAAATTATTAAGACAAATGTATGAAATATATAACTAAATAAGCACATATCAGGTTGTTCTGATGGTTGTTTTGATTCTTGGACCACCGGCTTTTGTGTTTTCCCGAGTTGTTGGATGAAAAGAAAAGAGCTACACTTTGAGACATAAGAGATTCAATACAAGAATCAGAGGCCACCTCCTAAGACTCATTCAATAAAAACATATTTTTAGCCTCAATAAATAAGGGAAATGGTTTAATATTGGTGATAACATCCACAATGCTATGATAGGAAGGTAGAAATTGTCTCAAAATTTGCATCACAAGCTCGATTTTAGTGATTGTAGAATCAACATCTTTAAGATCATTGACAAGGTTTTTAAGTGTCTGACAAAACTTGGTAATGGAGCTTGAACCTTTCTTTGTGTTTCAAAATTGATCTTGCAGTTGCAACACTCAGGACATTTTATTGTTCTGAAAAAATTCATCCAACTTGTCCCAAAGGTCTTTTGGCAGTACAATCATCACTAGAGATGATTTGAAACAACTAGGGATCACAAGTGCTATAAAACCATAATTTAATACTAGCATCCACCGAATACCATTCCTCATCGTCATCTTCGATTGGGAGTGATTTACCTTAAAGATGACCATAGGATAATGTACCTCTACACATGTTTGAAAAAAATTGACGTCATAGCTTATACTTTGAACCATCAACATTTAACTTGAAGCTAAATTGATTGTAGACATTTTTGAGGGTACATAAGAGACTTAGCTTTGATGGAGTATTGGTGGATGAAGAGGTCGATATTGACATGCAGAACACACGAGAGATAGAACAGAGACGATCAATTTGCAGCAACAATGGACAGGAACTCGACAACAACATAAGCATATTATGCGCAGTGTAATCAACAGGAAACAATCGAATTTGGTGGAGAAGGACCGGTGGCATTGTGAGACCTGGTGGACATGGTTGTGCTGATCAAAAAGCAGAAGTTCAGTGGAGAAGAAAGACATGTGAGGAGCTGTGGGAGTTATTGTTCTCAGTGATCAAGAGAGAAAAAAATTAGCAGTTGGGAGAAGACACTCATAGACCGTACGTGAGAGTAATGGGTTGGAAACCCTAGCTTGATACCATGTTGAATATGGGAAAAGCCTCAATTGGGAGAAAGTATGCACAATATATTTATATATGCAATAGTTACAAAGGGGACCCTACTCTATACAATAATCGACAAAAGTAGTATAAACTAACAATTATGATTTGGCTAAAATTTGTTCTTTTAAAAGTTATGGGATTCATTTGAAGGGTGTGTTTGGTGCCCATCCCTACCTTCTCATCTATTCCTTCCAGTGGTGTGAATATGGCTTCATCATCTTGTACTATTTGCAACGTGGAAGTCGAGACTACCGATCACAAGTTTGCTTCTGGTCCTTTTATTCACAAAGCGATGTATTGGATTTTTAAGTGGTGTGGGATTGATGGTAATTGTTTCTCAAATAAGGAGGAGTACATAAATTTTGCGGCTAACTGGGTAACGACAAATTGTATGGTGTTTTTTGGTATGTTTGGAAGGCGCGCAACGATAAATTGTTTCATCTTCTTCCTCCTAGCCCTACGAAAAACGGCAGATAACATAATTTTGTTGGTGTTTAGTTGGTATAAATACAAGTGTAAGGATGGTAATTGTAGTTGGGCTTGTTGATGTAGTTTCCCTTTTTCTTTTTTCTTGTATATATGTAATTTCCCTGTTTCTGTTTTGTCTCACTACTGGGGCCTTGCTAGGTTTGTTGTTTTACCAAACGTTGCTGGTTAAAAAAAAATTGACAAACAATCAAAATAATTAATTCATGTTAAATGGTAGTTAATTACTATATATAAGTAATAGCCCCTGATAATAGAAACACGCTCCATACCTTAGTCATAAAAAGTTCAATTATTTTTAAGAGAAATAAAATTATAAATCTTTTTTCGACATTTACTAGAAAAAAAAAAAAACGAACAATTATGATATACAATCAGAAAACAATTACATAATCAACACAGAAAAACAAAATACAAGAAAGAACAAAATGCAATTTATAAAAGATATAAAAACTTCGCCGTTATAGAAAGGCTCAATCTTAATAATGACCATTTAGAGCTTGATGCCAAACCAGTCCTTAACTAAATTAAAGGCCCCCATAACCAAACTGTAACTGTTGTTGTACCAGTCCTTGTTTTAATGGAGCTTTAAGAAAAATTGTAGGACCATCAAACGTCTGAGACTTAGGTTCAGTTATCCACCCTCGACAAGATACACGATCTTTCAAAGTCTAGAAAAAACTGTGTTGTGTAAAATATTGGAAACTAACCACCCATAGCATATCTATATATGGTATGCAATGTTGTTCATATAGATATATAATGTACCAAAACCATATATAAAATAGCTTTCGAAATTAAGTGTAACCAACCAAGAATGTAAACTAACCCCATTAAATGATCATGTTCATGTTTTTGTTCACAACTAAAAAAACTGATAAAAAGTGGTTCTTGATTTACCAATTTAAAGAAGTTACATGTTACTACATGTAACTACGTTTAACATCATCTTATGAAACCAAAAAAAAAAATACTTAGAAGATAGGTGAGTGTCACAACCATGATTTGAAAGCTAAAAATCTCACACGCATATAGACTCAAGATATTCCTTCATGCGCACGAGCTCATCAGCAGATGCAGCTTGGTTATGCTCAAGCCACTTGGTCGTGTCAGCAACCGCATGTTCCATTTTCATCAACTTTTTACGGTTCCTTGTGTTTTTCATCTTATTCTTCATGGTGTGTAAGCAGTCTTCTAATGCATTGAATGCACTTGCTTTCTTCTTGTATTCTTCATCCTCATGTTTGTACTTGTCAGCATCTTTAACCATCTTCTCAATTTCATCCTTAGAGAGTCTTCCATTTTGGTTGGTAATTGTCAGTTTCTCAGTCACACCTGTTGATACTATCTCTGATGTCACTGTGAGGATCCCATTGTCATCTATTTCAAAGCAGTTTTTGATTTGTGGTACTTTTCTAGGAGCCGGTGGTATCCCAAAAACTGTGAACATCCCCAACAAATGGTTATCTACAGATCTGGCTCTTTCACCTTGATAAACTTTGATGCAAACATCGGATTGGTTGTCATAAAATGTAGTATGAAATTTGGATTTCTTTGTAGGAATTGGGGTGTTACGTGGGATCAAAACATCAAATACTTCTTCTTTTACTTCTACACCAAGGGATAAAGGAGTGACATCCAATAACAACAGATCTTGAAACAGTCATCCCCGTTCCCACTCAACTTTTCAGCCATAACAGCTGCACCATAAGCAACTGCCTCATCAGGATTCACCCTCTTGCATAGTTGTTTTCCATTAAAAAACTCCTGCAACATAGATTGGACCTTTGGTATTCTGGTTGATCCACCAACAAGGATCACCTCATTTACACGAGATTTATCCATTTTTGCATCGGTCAAACATGCCTCTAGTGTCTGAATGCATTTAACGAAGAAACCCATGTTGAGCTCTTCAAATTTAGCACGACTGAACTTCATAGAAAAATCAATCCCCTCATGTAAGCCGTCTATTTCAATTGAAGTCAAAATATCGCATGAAAGAATCCGTTTTGCTTTCTCACAAGCACATTTCAACCTCCCCAAGGCTCTTTTGTTGCCCGTTAAGTCCTTTTTCCATTTCCTCTTGAATTCCTGAGCACAGTGATCCACCATACGACTATCAAAATCTTCACCTCCCAAATGAGTGTCACCTGCAACGGCTTTCACCTGAAGAGTACCACCGCCTTCCTCCATTGTCAATAGAGAGACATCAAAAGTGCCACCACCCAAATCAAAAACAAGAACATTAATCTTGGAAGTAATGTCCGACTTATTATCCAAACCATATGCAATTGCAGCTGCTGTTGGCTCATTGATGATTCGCATGACATTAAGTCCAGCAATAGCTCCAGCATCCTTTGTTGCTTGACGTTGCGAATCGTTAAAGTAAGCTGGAACCGTTATCACAGCATCTTTCACAACTTTTCCAAGGTATGACTCAGCAGTTTCTTTCATCTTCCCAAGAATCATGGATGAAACTTCTTCCGCTGAAAATTCATTCTCTTCACCTTTGTAGGAGACAACAATCTTTGGTGTGTCGGAAGGCCCTTGTATGACCTTGAAAGGCCACAACTTGATGTCATCTTGCACTTTGGAATCACTGAATCTCCTTCCAATCAACCTCTTAGCATCTAAAAATCCACAATATAAAATTAAGCCAATTTATATAGCCAAGTAAATTTGAAAAAAATAAAAACAGCTTTTACCAGTAAAGATTATAATTACCTGCATCAGTTGTAGAAGTAGATGTATAGATTGATGTTTCAAAGACAATTGAAGTAATATGCATGCAGCAAAATATGCAAAGAAACATTGACTAAATATCCCAGTCCACAGTAGAATGAAAGATATACTTCTTGTTTAAAAAACTTTATCTGATACTAAAAGAAGCAGATATATATTAACCCAAAAAAACATAAAAACCATATCGGAGAAACCTAACTTCAAAGATTAGTTTAAATCAAGGATCAAAAACTTTAGTTCATTTGAATGTAATTCACATTGCATAAATTTCATTCTGAACAATTTTCATAATATCAGACTCCTTTGCTGAATATGATATTTTCACATGCTTAATCTTACTAAGGTTAACCAAATAATTAAGAAAAATAAAGGCTTACCAAATATGGTGTTAGCGGGGTTCATGGCTACTTGGTTCTTGGCGCCATCGCCAATGAGACGTTCTCCATTAACGAAAGCAACACAAGAAGGTGTGGTTCTGTTGCCTTGATCATTGGGAATGATCTGGATATGACCATGCTTCCAAACTGCGACACATGAGTAGGTTGTTCCGAGGTCGATCCCAATCGCCGGTGTGTCGTTTCCTCTTCCGTCCATTATAGTTAAAATTTAACGTAAAGTAATAGAGTATTTTCGATTTTCAACGCAACTTCTATTTCAATATCAGACTCCGTCGCTTGGTTAACGAATTGATGAAAACCGACGTTGAAGAAGCCTAAGTTTGACAGAGCCCCTAACTTTTTGAGGCCTCCATTTTAATTTGTTATTTCCCGCTCAAAGTTTTAGTCGCCAAATAACCTATCTACCCTTATTCTCACTCTCGCTCAAAGCTGGAAAAGATAAAGTTTCCAACTTCATTCCGAGAAGTCAGCTACTAAATTATAAAGATTTTCGTATTGATTAGCAAGATCTGCATAAATGATGAAGGTAATTTCACGAAATCATCTCCTAAATCTCTGTGATTCTCAATCTTTCTGTTGGTATGTAAACCTCGTGGCTGGAATGTTTGTTTTTCTTGACATTTTAGCTCCTTATGTGTATTATGTGAGAAATAAATTAAGCCATTAAATAAATACTATTTAAGCCATTAAAGATTACTAACAATTTTTATTCAACTATCAGTTGTATTTCCATTCTTTGGTAAGTCAATGGACTCTTTACCATGTTTAGCATATTTTCAGTTTGATTGAGCTATAGATTGTTTGTTTTTATCTTAGGTTACATATAAAATTAGGTTTGTGATTTCAATATTGGTTGCTAATACAATGGACACCAGATGGTAGACAAAATTTCACAAAGAAAGTTTGTGTCTTTACTTTCTATTATTTTGATTATTTGTGGAATTACACTTATATTCACTACAAAAGTACGGAGCTATTGCGACGACTATGGTTGTCAAAATCGCAATCCTGATCGTAGGATCATACGATCCTACGATCCTAAGTAAGAAAAAAGATCCGTATCTTAAAAGGATCGTATTTGAGATAGAATCGCAGGTAGGATCGTAAGATTATCGGTAGAATCGTAGGATCGAGATCCAATCCGATGCTACCTTCCTTTTTTTTTTTTTTTGCAAATGAAATTTTTTTTTTTTTTACTATTTTATGTTTCTTTTACCATTTATCAATCTAACATTTATCATTATTTATTGTGACTTATGACTAATATTTTAAAGTTTTTATAACTTTTGAACGAAAAATTAAATGTTTGAAATATTTTTCATGAATTAAATATTATAAATTAAAATTATATTCTATTTTGTGGGATTTTAGGATTTGGCTCCCGATCTTGCAAACCCAAAAACGATCCTGGATAGGATCCCGATCTTGACAACCTTGGCGACAACACCTATCCCGAAGACGGTAGTCGTCGCTACAAGTCAGGTTATGCCGACGCCATATCTTATGCCAACTAAGACTAAAGTTCTTTGTCTGTGCCGACGACTTGTCATCGCTACAAGTCTGGGAACGACCAAATTATTCGCGGTATTCTGAAAATCTACGCCGACGACACGGTATAGGTGTCAAGAAATCTATTTTTCATTTATTTTTATTCTATGGTGCAGAATATCAGAACGACAAAGTTTTTTTTGGAAGCTATACCGACGGCATGTCGTCGGCATGCTACGTGGCGATCCGCGTGAAATGTCTATCCCGACGACTTGTCGTCGGCACAACTTTTTATTTTGTTTTTTTTATTTCAACAAAAAGTGGAACGGCATCGTTTATTTAAACCCTATAACGACAATGTTGTACATGTATATTGTTTTATGACAATGATGATAATGTTGTACATATATATTGTTCTAGTGATGAATTTGATTGATGGTATGTTATAGTTATTATATATCCTGATTGCTTATATATTTGTTAAATTTTCAAATATTCCTTATTTATAAGTAGTTTTATTATATATTTTGAATGTTTATAATATTTGTTAAATAGATGGCAGAAGTCGCGATGGACTTGGAGGAGATGGTAGGGATAGACCTCCACAAGGGGTCCTATGCGGTGTACCATTAGGTTGCCAATCTTGTAAGTTATATGAAATTCTTAAGTATTAGATATATTAAAGTTTTAAATGTCTAAATTTCCAATTCTATATGTAAATCTAGCACAAGCGAAAAATGTGAATGTGCGTGGAAAAGAGCGAAACTTAAATTTGTACGATAAGTATGAAAATAACGATTGTAAGCCTTTGGTTGTGAAAATTGATACCTCCGGGTGGACATATCAATTCGTGGGGGATAACGGGAAATTATATGTCAAATTGATCTCAAATCTAGTGGGATCAGAGGTACTGTTGCTGAAACATCCATAAAAATCAGGACAAATTTAAACTTTTTAAAACATTTAGAAACCAACAGTTATTACCAATTTGTTTTCAAAAGAATTCTATATCAGAGTATCCCAGAAACATAGTCATAAAAGGTGAGGAGTTGTACGATCACGCCTTTACCTTCCTGCAATCATCTGATGCACCTGAAACAATAAACTGAAACTGTAAGCCCGAGTCTTAGTAAGTTCCCCCAAAATACCGATACACATACAGTTCACATAACAATATCAACAATATCATAACATAATAAACTGAACAGCATGCAATGGGTCCACAGCTTTACAGACTGGATTACCCCTGGGCCCACAATATGAGTCTAGATTGCCTTCCGGGCCCACAGCTCACATCTGGATTACCATCGAGCCCACAGTACGAGTCTCCTTAGCTCGTAACTGGAATGCTCCCGGGTTTGTTGGTTACCGCACGGAGTAGTATCACCTTAACCCATCCCACATAACATATCAACATATAACATAACCACTGAGCATGCAGATAATCATATAACAACATAGGTAGTCCTATAGATCTACCTAACTGGATAACCACTAGCATGCAACACTAACTTCATACTCAACATAATAACACTGCTAGGATAACATATCCAATGGGCCGGCCTTGGTGCCTTAGACCCCTTAGTATAGTGATGTAACTCACCTAGCACTGTTGAACTCCCGCATATAAAACTCCAGCTGTTGGTTGACAGATTCCCGAACTGTCAACATCAAAAAATACCTAATTAATAATTGGATTCCAAGCCCAAGGTCCATCTCACACTCCAAAGACCCAAAAGTCATGTAATGACCAAAGCCTAACATGTGCCCAATTTTTCCAAATTGGGCCCAAACCTTTACATGGTTATAATTAAAGGCCCAACTACCTAGTCCAGTCCAAACACTAGGCATTTCCAATAGCCCAATATCATATAATCATCAAGGCCTAACTATGGCCCATCTACGACCCAATTTTCCAAATTGGGCCCAAACCCTCATATGGGATTTACCCTAAAGCGCATTAAATTATTCTAGTTCATTTGCTTGTTCTTGGATGGCCCATTAATAACCCAATTACCAAAACCCAATAGAAAGGCCCAATTAAAATTTAGTTTTCTTACATGAAATGATGATTAGGGTTAAGTGTTCCTACTTAACCCATTAAGGACTTAATCCATTAAGTCCATTATTGCCTCAGGTGAATTTGTCAATGATTATAATTTAATATTTTGATTCTGTTAATTAATTCAAGAGCGGGTCTCGATAATTTTCTCAAAAATTAGGGTTTCAAGCCATTAAGGTTTTCCAACCCAAATACTAGCCCATTAATCAAATTGCTTAATTAAAAAGGTTGATTTCGTCGTTTATAGGAAATTTTGAAAAATTGGCTTGTGTTGTTTTATTTGAGTGAATTTGACTATATAATAGTGTATTTGATCAAAAAAAGTGAAATCGAAAGTCTTATTATTTTTAGTATCAACTTGTTTTGTTGGCTTAATGGGTTAAAGTTCTATAAACTTTTAGCCTATTTATAGTGGATCTTTTACAAAATTTTATATATTCATTTTGTTGTTTAATTATTCTAACTATTTTTTTTTTAATTAGAACCTATAATCATGTTACAATTAACTCATCCTTATGAACGTACAATATATATTACACTCACATAACTAAAAGTTCATATTTCAAAGTAATATTAAACCAACTTTATTATATCACGTTACTTTAAATAAAAATAAAAAATCAATGTCATCAAAAACCTAAATGTAATTTTTTGCTTATTAATTTTTTTATAAAGGTTGAAAGATTATGTGATTGATGTAATTACAAAAAATAATAAAAATAAAGAAAAATATGGGTTTCCAGTTCTAAACTCATTTTACCCGGTTCCACCTTACCCACTTTCCTATTTCCGGGTTTTTCGGTTCTACACCCCTTTTACCCGGTACCGTACCCGGAACCGAACCGGAATCGGTTCCTATATACCGGTCCGGTTTCCGGTTCTAAAAAATATCGTTAAACGGTTCTAGGTTTTCCGGGTCCAGTTCCATCCGGTCCGGGTTTGGACTCACTTTCATCCCTAGTTCTTAGTATGTGATGGATAGAGGAGAAAGAAGATGCTTTTCATACCCGTTTTTTCCCCGAGGAGAAAAAAGTTCGGTTTGTCTTAGACAAATTGTAACATGCATCGAGAGACGTTTGGGATTTGATCGCCTAGTCCACTACAGTGGCCGATCTAGAAATCGTGTTGTGGGAGGAGTTCATGACTCAATTTAAGAAGAATTAGGTATCTCTAATGATGGGTAATCATATGTTTCCAAAGTTCGGGATGGAGGCTCAACAGAGGACGGATGAGCAAGAACAGGTACTCATTCCAGTGATATAGGGAGTCAGTGTCATTATGGTAAGTGTGGGAAAGCGAATGATGCTACCCATTAAATGGTTATACCTAGGTGTTTTAGATGTAGGCAAAAGGGTCATTTCAGTCGTGAATGCAAGTACTAGAAGAAGAAAGTATGCTTTCGTTGCATCTGGATGGGTCACGTTAAATTATCCAAGGGGAGCAGGAGGGATGAAATCTGATCCAACAATTGTGATTATCTCTAGTATGTTTATGATTATATTATGATATTCCTTTTATTCATTTTATGCTTATGATGAATTATTGGTCTGAACTCATGGACAAGCTATGTTGATAGATCGATTGATTGTTAGCATAGCGTGTTAATGTTATGTTGGGATTGTCAAGCTATTGTTTGAAAAATTAGAAGGTT